TACCGGGGAAAGAAGTTTGTAAGCAAAAAGTTTGTACCAAAACATGGAACGAAATATAGAAATTGCAACTTTTAACAGGGAAAAATAAACACATCCAAAATCCACAACAATTCAATTTTATAATATCAATATTTTTTATTACCCATAAATATTAAAAATATTTCATTACCCTCAAAGGGTAAAAGTATATTCCCATTATGAAATTAAATTGCAAGGCTATAATTTTTATTTAATAACACAGAAGCTTTCAAATTGCCCATTAAATCGTACATAATACTAAAGAAGATCAGCGAATAAATCTCTTTAACAGGATCATAATTCAGAAATAAGATGATTAATAATATGATCATAACATTTTCATACAGCAGTTTTTTATTTGATGTAAAAACACGATTTAGGTATTTTCTGCTCAACGAGATATCTTAATTACCTAGAGTCAGTGTTATTCAAACTGTCTTATAATAGTCCAAAAAAACATGTAAAATATATCCAAGTAAATTTCTCACTTGTCATTGATTATACAAAACTTTATTGATTGTATAATTGAATCACTTTCCATAGGCCTATAGTATTGTATGGTAATTATTAGACAATGAGCTCCAGCAAAAAAATTGTGGATACGTTTCAAAGATTCCTGAATACCTTACAAAAATAGATGCATGCGTGTGTATGTTTGTTTGAAACCAATTTTTCTTTCACGATTTTGGGAGCATGGAGCAGCCAATTTGAATGATTCATGAAGCATTAAATTTGTATTGAACTGGAGACGTGCTGATTAGTTTAGTCAAAGCCAGGTCCCGTTATTTCGAAGATACGGACTAAAATGTGCCAAAAACGGCACTTCAGTTTTTCAGAGAAAGGAGTATCCGATTCAAAAGATTCAAACAACATTTCACTTGTATTGTCGGAGAGAAAAATTGATTATATTTTCGCGAAGGCAGGTCCAGCGATTTTGGAAGTACAAAAAAGGTATAGAATTACCATTTGGTTGTTTAAATTTGATCAAAATAATTTATTATTATCGATTCAAATATATGTAGAAATATTGATACATACATGACTGATAGACAGGTAGACAAGTAGACGAATAAGAACATAAACAGATAGATAAGTAGACCGGTTGACAACGAGACAGGTCGGCAAACATGTAGATAGGTGGAAAAGTATATAGATAGACAAGTAGAAAGGTAAAAAGTAGACAAGTAGACAGGTAAACTAGCAGACATATAAGCAGGTACGGAAAGGTAAAAGTAGACAAGTAGATACTTAGACAAGTAAATACGTAGACTTTTAGAAAGGTCGATCATATACAATTCAAAGATGTATTCATTGAAGCAATTATTTATATTTATCGGATAGTACATGCGACTTACTCCTAGTTTAATTTAATTCTATGTTGAAATCAATTATGACGGATTTCCTAATCCTTCAAAAGACAAAGCACTTCAATCATCAAAAATATGTCTATTAATTCCTCATCCGCCTACATTGAGCATTCCTGACTCCGATATTTCGCAAGTAAAGGCAGTTACATCAGAATCTAATACAATGCGCGGCTTGTGCAAGCCAAGTATAAAAGAGGTCTTCTCGTTGTTTCTAATTAAGTACGCTCTTTGGCTTCGTTTTCATTAATTAGTTCAATTATAATCCCACCAATACCTACAACAGTTCCATGAACGAGGATAGCAGATAAAAATTTCCTCTCTTTATAAAATTAGATACACAATTAAAATTTATGTACGTTGTATGAACCGTTTCAGAGTTCGCGATTTTGCTGAAATTGCCAGAGTTGGAATATATTGTGTACATAGAATGGAAACGTAGATTTTTTAATTAAAGACGAAAATGTAGCAATTAAAAGTATGAGTAAAGGATAAACACGCAGAAATAAGCCGATGCTTGCATTTTAAATTAACAACTCGAGATTCAAATTTAGCAAAATAAAAGTTCAGAATCCCTTACCTTATTTGCAGACCATGGTAACATATTGATAGGAAACACTAAAGGTATTTTTACTTAATTTGTACCACTTCTCATACCGGCGTAATCATTTAACAGGATCGTTTTGATCATCAACTCTACCAACATGCAAAGTTTCATTAAAATCCCAAAGAAGTAAACCTAAGGTTCTTCTTGTAAGTTACATGCACCCAAGTGAAACCTGTTTTGCATAATTGCAATGATGTTGCTTATCAATATTTACATAATTGTTTTATAATTGCACTTGTTAATGCCATCTTTAGTTATTAAATATATGTCA